TTTCCATCAGCTAAGACTAATTCATAACAAAAACTTGCAAGTAACCATTTAGGTTTTCTTCTCCTTCTCCCTTAACAAATACCATGCTAGGACCCTACACTCCTTTTGTTTACTTCGAAGAGGACAGAAATAAACATTTTAGGTTGTATGTTTTTCAGGGTTCACTGTATTGTGAGTAAATATGCAATATATAAACAATTCTTTGTGGAAGTTTCATTTTTTTACAAGACCCTTTTTAGTAAGGCTACCACATAATTCTGAAATATCAGGAGAGGAGCAGCAAGTGACTGTTAAGAACTTCAGAGAACCCTGGTTATAGCGAGTCATCATAAATATTTTGCCATTGACTTCATTGAACATAAAACTTAGCTCCCTGTATGCTATTAACTGACCTTTGCTGTTGCCTTTATGGAATGCAGTAGTGATAAAAGAATACATTATAAAAAATGTTGAGGTTTTTGGAGAAGGTATTTTTTTGGTGACTGGATTTGCATTGTCAGAGGAAGTTGAGTTGTTTGTAACTTGCTCACTTTATTTGCAGTGCATTTAAAAATGGATCAGGGTTTTAAAATAAGCATCTCGCTTTTTTGGTGCCTCAGTGAGCAATGGTTCTCTGAGAAATGATGCATTATAAATGGATAAAAAGATAAAGGAAAAGCAAGTTGCGTGTCGTTACTGAGTCTGTAAAACTAGTAATACCCAATGCTAGTCAAAATATGCAGTATTTTTAAAAAGTCTTTGAGTGTTCAGGCTCTGGCATTAAACTAAACATGGTATCTTCATATTCCTCTGTGGCAATGCACCAAGTATTTACCATGGTGGTGTTAATAAGTGAATGTTCCTATGTAGTTACAAAATTTGGATGCCTGTTTAGTAGTGACTTCAGAAAAGTTAAGTGGGATCTTTTTTTCTCTTGATCTCCTGGGTCATTTTTCCTCACTTTTCCTGTAGCAGGTAATGCTGTCTGTCTGGAAAAAATGTGTCCAGTGAGGGCCAGGTACTGTGGGTACCATTTAAAGGTGTTCTGTTTGAGATGTAACCAGAAAAATCTGTTTGTAAAGTCAGAATGCTGCGGGACAGATGTGATGGATGGGAATGGCTGCTGCTGCAGTCTGTGCAGAAACAGCTGCTACAAATACCACTGTTTCCCAGGATATTTTAAATCTTGGATTCTCTCTTTTCCTACGTTTTTCCTCAGTAGTTAAAGGTTTATCAATATCAGAGCATAGTACTGGAAACAATGAAACTTTTAGCCTTGAAGGAGCAGGTAGTATTTCTAGTAACCATATCATACCTTGAAGATAATTCAGTAAATTAGCTATAATGAGCCATCCTGCGCTGGTGTAAATATAATGAAATATATGAACAAGGCAAGAATACAAATTCACTAACACTTTTTTTCAGACCAAGTTTGAGACCTATACAAAAGTACTGTAAACTTCCCGCTGATTTTTTTGCAACATTCCCAAAGACTGCATTTTTTCAAACCAACTCCGTGTTTATACATAAAAGATCTTGAAGCCTTCCCTTGAAACGTGAGCTGAATTCTTGTTCATTTGATTAAACAGTAGTATCTGAGAGCTGGCAATGGTATATCTGTTTCTGAAGTATGGGAATCATGCATAAACCTCTGCTGCTATAGTAAGGCAAGAAAAATAGAGCAAGAGTACCTAGAATTTCTTTATTCCAATTTAGTTGGAAAGATCCTGGCAGAAATCAATAGGCCCTGCTGCTTTTGCATGAAACAATACGAAAAAAGACCTTACGTTATACATGCTGAATTCAAGGACATGCTTAACAGAAGTTCCCTTTTGTTACCTATAAACATTTCAGTCTGTTACCCATGTTCAAACACTAAAATAAATTAAGTAACTGTAGTAGTAAATTTGTGAATGCCTAGATTTTATCAATTCTTAAAAAACCCCCCCAAAACTAAACTAAAAACATCACAATGGAATGATGTTGATTTACCGTGTTTCTGAAGCTGTGAAGGACTATTCCACTGTGGAAAAGTCAGTTCAGTATTTGTTTTAGAGTAAAAAAAAAAAAAAAAGAGGCAATAAGATTTATTATTTATTACACAAAGAATCAGGGAAACTGTAATATTTTCTGTTGTTTTGTTATTTCCATACTATTTAGAACAAGTTTGTAGATTTTGTTTTTATCATTTTTAATGAAGCTGTAACAGAGTTCGTTTCATCATGAATGCAACATGAAATAACAGCAATATTGTAACTCCTCAGAAAACTCACGTATCCTATACGTGAGTATATCCAGCAGAAAATACCAAACAGGTATATCTAGGATATCAATTAGTAACACAGCTTCTGAATGTTGTGAATGACCTCTGGAGCTCAAACATCTGATCTCTGCAGACCAGAGGCCTATGTACAGGTCAACTGTGCACAATGTACATATGCATCAACATGGTTAGACTTAACTAAAAACTGGCCTATAATGAGACTATATTTTATGTAAAAAATAAATAAATAAAAAAAAAAAAGACCCCCCCCAAAAATTCCCCAAAGCAAACAAACCCCCCCCCCCCCAAAACTGTGCAAAACAAAACCAAAAAGAAACTAAACAAAAATTTATGTACTTTTCAACAAAGGGAGTGCAGTCCTTATATTCTCTCCTAAGAAACCACCAACATCATTACCTACAATGGTTGTGCTTAATTTGAAAGATGAGAGACAGAACCCAAAACAAAAAAAGAAACACTTGAGATCATGTCCAGTTGGAGAAAATGTAGTGTCACAACTTATGCCTGTTTTTAAATAAAACAGAAGGGTTGATTAATGCTGAACAGAGAAGTAATTAAAATAAAGCAGAACAAAACTTCTAAAGAATATATTTAATCTAAAACTTTAAAATGCTGACCTTGACAAGGTATTTAATTATGAGAGAAGAGGAATATCCTTCACTTCAAACGCTGTGCTCTGAGAATTCAGTACGTCACTAGCTCAAAGACATGCTTTGTGATACTGCCTGTCTCCCTTGTTTCACTCTTGTCCTTTGGGGACACCTCAGATTACTTTGGTCTGTGTACTGCAGCTGCCTTCAGAAAGGTATTTGCACAGATTGTTTCTTCAGAGCAAGCTGAGAAATACAAGTGTTCTGTTCTTTAAAGCTGGATCAAGCTGAGTTTTTGCTCATCAAACAGTTTTAGTTACCCTTTGTAATTATCACAAGTACTTTCAAATAACATCCTCAGTTTTCCTTATTTAAAATGGATAGAAATATAACTGATTAATCAAGTTTATATTGTGGGGTTTTTTCCCTAATCAGGTTTTAAATGGTTGTTTAAGTGCTCCTGTGTAAAACTGACCTTAAAAAGTAACTGGGCTACCTTTTCTCTGTGTGAAGATATTTTTGTTTCATAAAACCTGATCGTTGTTGGAAAATCAGCAGTGAGATGCTGGTAACTGTTTGCATTTACAAATATCTTGTATAGTCTCCAAAATTCAACTCGATACATTTCAGTTCAGGGTTTGCTTGCAATCATTAGAAACAGTAGTTTCCAGGATTTTTTTTCTCTCCACTGAAAACTTTGAACTACAGTATTTTCTCTCTGGAGAGGGAAAACAAAAAAAGGTATTGTATACAAAGATCAGGGTGCAGATTTTCTTATTCTTTGCAAATGTATTATATTAATCTTCTGACAGTCTGGATACAAGAAAAAAATGTAGCACTGTTTTATTTAAAATACACTAAGAACAAAAAAAAGTTACTTTGAAATATTTTTGGAATTATCCGAATTTTTCTTGCAGAACCATAGTTACAGGTGTCTTGTGGTTCAGTGTTTTGGTTTCCAACTTTAGTGTTACCTTGGTGGATATTGCCTTCTTGTTGAGTTATGAGCAAAAAGCAAGTTAGTGTGCTTGTATAATTCTGAGTTTGCAAGGTTTTCTGTCCATTGGGCACTGCTTCATTCCTTTGACAGAAGACAACAAAATATTCCGTGGTAGTCTGTATGGTATACAAGGAAATGTTCTTTTGCTATTTCAGTATATATTAGATCCTGCAAAGTGATCAGGAATTTAAACTTTTTCAATTAAGACTGAATATGAAGATTGAACCGTGGCTCTGTGGAAATCACCATCTACTCTGAAAAATCACTCTTCATTAGAAAAAAACCTTGTCTTAGTGAAAAAAAATTAAAATATCTGTCAGTCAGACATCTTCCTCTGAAAATTTCACTTTATTGTTGATTAATCCAAATGGATTGGAAAGGTTAAAGAGGTTTATTAGAAGACAAGAATGATAGCTCATCTGGACATGCTGTCAACCTGTTCCAAATCTAATTTTCTATCTATATCCAAAGGTACAGCCAAAAGTTCATCCTGTAGTCACGCGTTTTAACTGTGTGGGGGTGTTTGGATGGACCAATAGAAATCTACAAATAATGTACCTGAAATCACACAATCTCTGCTACATTGCTTGTGTTAAGTTTTAGGCCAGGTTTTGTGACTGGTGAATCAAATTAGCATTGACCTTTAGTACTTGGCTTTTTTTTCTTTTTTTTCCTTTCATTTTATTAGTGGGTTTTTTGAGGGTTTCTTAGATTGATGTTCTATTAAATACTGTGGCTCATTTTTCATGAAAAATAATTGTATCTTACTTGAAACCATATCTGAGTGTAGTCATATGAAAATATTGATCTGATTATAGGATACTAAGTAGGTGTCTTTACATTTTAGAAGGGATACTTTGGAAATTGGAAGTGGTTGAAATTATACTCCAGCTTTGTTGCAGTCTAGTTTGTTTTTCTGCATATATTTCTAAATATAAGCATCCTCTTGTGAATTGTTTAAGAAACCTGACTTTAAATAATATTGCAGTCGCATTGGGGTTTGCATGCCTTGTGCTTTTGCTTTCTGTTGATTAATCTGTCAGTTGATGTTACCGAGACCAATTTGATCAAATTTATGTAACATACTCTAAGAATATCCAATATTTAGCCTCACAGCATTTCTTTCCTTTTTTTGTTTTCTCCACAGATACCACAACGTATTCCACTGAGCGATCTGAGCACTTTAAGCCATGCAAAGACAAGGATCTTGCATATTGTCTCAATGAAGGGGAATGCTTTGTGATTGAAACCTTAACAGGATCACATAAACACTGCCGGTAAGTCATTTGGGAAGAAGTTGCAAGAAGAGTTTTCTGTCCAAGGGACAAAGCATTAGGAAAAAATAAGTGTTCAGATGGAGAATGTTAGGAAGCAATGGAATTTGTCCCCGATTTGGTTGCATCCCTCACAGTTGATCAGTTTTTAGTAGTCTGTAATATTTATAAATAGAAATACGGAAATAAAAGAAGCAACATTTTCATTTTTTCATAGATAAGAAAAATCTTCAATATTGTATTTTTTAATGCTATAAACATGTAAGGATTAATGTTCCATTTTCAGTTTTTTGCATGTAAAAGTCTTTTGTTCCTCTGCATACCAGAAGCATCCCTTTATTTTAGGTACTGTAAGTAGAGCTTTGACAATAGCTGCAGGCACCATTCATTGAGAGAGAGGAAGGGCTAGTGTTGTTAGGAATAAGGGTTTCTTCAGTTTAGTTACTGAAAGATAAAATGGACTGTAATAGCCATATAACTGTTCTACAGGTTTATGCTCCTGAACTTCTGTTATTAGGTATGGACATCTTGAATGTATTTAAAAGAATATCAGAGAAGAAAACCACATCACTCAATATAATTATTATAGCTGTAGTGGCCAATAAAAGGGAGTGAGATACAGAAGGAATACTGTAACATCTTCCTGAAGGTGATAATATAAAAAAAATCTGAACTATTCAAGTATTCTTTTAAATAGCAGTAATCCAAAATGAAAACCTGTACTTTTGATGTTTTAATTTACTCCTAAGATATTGTATATGGCATACAGAAGGTGAATTGAAGACTCTCATATGCTGAATTCTAAACTGAACATCTAAATCTATGGAAAACTCTTAACATAAATAATAAAAAGCATCTAAGACACTCAGAGGGAACTTTCCTGAAGGATTTGGGCCTTGAGCTGCTAAATCCCACTAAAAGTAGGAAGGAAGTCACAAAATCATATGTGCCTGGTTTGAAAGTGGAAATTTATGGATTTAGAGATTTGTGAAAGTCTGCTTATGATCAGAAGAATATTCCTGATATTTCCATTTTTAATACTATGCTGGTAATGTTTCCCATTCAGTTGAATATGTTTCAGTGAGCATTCATTTCCCCTCTTTATTTTATATTTTTTTATGGCATGCTTAAATTAAATATAAGTAATTTATTATAGAATATTGATGTCTCTTTCTACTTCCATCATAAAACTTCACAGGTGGTTGTTTTTTTTTCTCAAAGCAGGTATGGTTTTCAGTCCTTTTTAGAAACATCATGAGCTGTTAAGGGAATTAGATCACTCAAATATTTCAGTGTTTTTCGTTGTCAGAATATTCAAACTGGACAAAAGTGGTTCAAATTAACAGCAGAGAAAATGGATCTATATGAGAATTTCTAATTAGGCTGGTAAATTTAGTAGCTAAACAGATTGTTTTTGTAAACTGTATAGATTACATTTTTTAATATCTGCAGGAGTGTATTTCATAAGAGAGCTGCTTTCTTTTTTTGTTTGATTGTTTGTTTGACTTTCAGGATCTTTCCCATTGCCTGCCTTTGCCACATTCTTGTTTATTTACTGTGATTCCGATAGTGCAGTCTGACTAATGGTTAGAAGCTTTTCCATCCAAGCTTTTCTCCTTAACTAAACAAGACAGAATGTTGACTTCTCATTCTTTACAGCAGAGTGAAGTTTTTTCATCACCTTCTCTTGTGTTATCCTTCCATAGGGAAGTACCAGTATCATTTGTGGATCTGTTGCTTCCGTGTGTGACAGATTTGCATTGCTTGTACAGGTTTCTGGCATTGGCACATTCTCTGGGAATTAAACATCTGCTTGTTTCAGTAGGTACTTTGAACTGTGCAACATAAGAAGACATGTATAAGGCAATAAAATTCATATGGCAAAAGAAGATGCATTTTAAAATTTAAAAGGTGATTAGTTATATTGCTTTGTTTAATGCTGTAATGACCTTCAACACTACAAACAGCAGCTTGTTTAAAATCACTTTTGTACTGGTATGTATGTAATTAATGAAGAAAAACCTTTAAATTTGACCTTCAAAGGCTGTATCTCTACCTTGGTAACAGACTATGTCTCTCTGTCAGGACCGTAGTAGTGAGTGTGATGCAGGTGTTTTTCTATCTGTAGCTTGTAACAGTGCTCAGAAATAACAGCTAGAATGTACTCATATAGAAAAATACAATATTGATGCACTGTATTTGTCCGCTAACTAGTAACAAAGAAAAATTTTACTAGGGTTATGGAATTCCCATGGCAATTAAGAGAATCATTTGAATGCAGAATTATGAAGATAAAATGATACTTTGTTCTCAGAATCAAGATGCATTGTATATTCTCATTGTGGGTTTGATTTTGCATCTGTTCTGGGAACAGAGCACCAGTTTACTGAAATGGGAATTTACCATGTGGAACAGCTGCAGATAGAAGACCTTGATGGAGCAAAAAACTTTTCATCCCACTTTGTCAGGTTCAGAAAGTGTTAGAGGATGATATGCTTAGCGGGTTGTGCAGTCCTTCTTGTTGTGTGTACATGTTTAAGGATAACTATGCTAATGATAAAGGGGAAAAACAAAAAGGAGGGATTTGATAGGAATTAATAAATACTGGAGTTATATCCCAGACCTCTTCTGTATCCTCCTGAACCATACTGTCAATGCAAAGAGACTAAACTGCAGCTCAGGCACCTTTCAGAGTTTACAGAATTCATCATGATATTGTTTGAAAGTAAGAGGAGATGAACATGTGTTGATGTCCAGCTGTCAGTGATGGCATTGGCAATGAGATGCTGTAGAGCACTGTCTCTGTGACTGGTTTCTGTTCTGTGAGATATGTGCCTTACCTACTCTGAACCTGTAGCTGTGGAGAGTGGGGCTGACATGCACCCTTGGCAAAGGGCAAGGGGGAGGCCGTGTTGCAGGAGACCACTGGGAATACAGTAAATGAGGAGGCTGGAGGGAGTCCTGATTGTGCATCTTCCGTTCTTATCCACCTACGGAGGTGGTATCCTGAAGTCATGGGATTTTTTTTTTTTAAACCTAATTGACAACTTGAGGCAGAAAAATAAAAGTGGTTATAGTTTCAAATTCTCTAACTCGATTTTTATTCAAACTGGTACATTTTACTCACTGTCTCTTGGTGAAAAATTGCCTGGGATGTGAACTGGCAAGAGTTCTCCTGCGTGGTTAGGTAACAGATAAGATACACTGGATGTTGTTTGTGCTATTTCGAAGGTGTGACTTCAGTATTTATTTTTGTGAATGATTTAATATGAGCTTGTTTTAAGGATAGGGTAGGTCAACAGTAAGGGAACTTCATATTTAGCTTTTCCATATGCTGACATTTTTTCACTGTTGCCACCTTGAGAACTTAAGCTGAATGGTGAGAGTGCCTTTATTTGTAATTTACACAAGACAAATCAAGTACACAGTCAACACTGATACATCAGCATTTAACTGGGTATTACATAATACAGGCTTTAAAAAAAACTGTTTAGGTTTTCTCTGTACAAGTTTATTTCAAAGACCCAGTCTCAAGTCACTCTGGGATTTTTTTGAGTTTACCTTTGCATTTTTTTGTTTGGTGCTTTTTGTTTGTTTGGATTTAGTTTGTTTGGGTTTTTTTGTGTTTGGTTGGTTGGTTTTGGTTTTCTGTGTGTGTAAATGTTTTTTACTTTTTCTTTTTAGTCCCTAAATTTTCTTTTTGTTAACCATTTAGGACTGGAAGACACTGGATGAATGATTGACTAAAACTTTTGAGGGGAGAAGAGGATTACACTTTTAAAACTTGTCCTCTAAAAGAAGCCATTAAGACTATTGTGTATGCGGAGGAGGTCTTGGCATTGGCAGTGAACTCTGATGTACTCTTTGTAGATTTGAATATATTGGGTGAGATACTCCTTTCATCCTGTGCTCCTGTCCTCCTTCTTCATGAAGCAAGCAGTATAAAGCCTGAATAAGTTTTTTTACAATAGAGAGGGAAAGAATAGACTCACAAATACACAGTAAACAAAGCGTCATTTCCAGTTGACCAAATTACAGCAGGTTATAGATATGCATCCAAAGTGCACTATTGTGGTTACAATCCCAGATTTTTCAGTTTTCATAGGATAGTCTGCTTTTAATGCATACATCTTGTTCTGGTGAATAGTGGGCTTGGTGATCTTGTTCATTTTTATTCATAAATTTTCAATTTTTACATTTAGTTCATCAAAGAATTATATGAACATTTCTCAGCTGTGTTTAAAATCTGTCATGGGACCGGAAGGATTGACTTCTAATTTAATGAAAGTTCAGTTTGGATAAATATTTATATCCTGCAAGGTTTTATTGTGAGTCTTCTGCATAGTAGTAACTGTAATCCAGGCATAGCCCTTGCTGTCAGTAAAACCAGGAGAAAGGGATCAAACAGATGGGACTTAAGAACAGTTCTGAGCGTGGCATATGATACGTGCCCTTAACCATAAGTTAAAAATCTAAAAAGCTAAGAATATAATTTCCCTGATTTAGTTACATGGCTTGTTGTCTAGGCTTTCACAGTCTGACCTAGGTGTTTTAAAATACCAGCCACTCCATTTTGTGTGTTCTCCCATCTTTTATTACAGTGGCACTTTTCCAGAGTGCTTCCAATGTGTAAATAAAGCAAGGCCAGAAAATGATTCACTATTGAATAAATTTTAAAAAAATCATTCATATCACAATACTTCAAGCCTAGTTTCATCAAAAGTAATCCATTGTATTAAGCTGACAACATAACATACAGATACAACATTTTAAAGGAGGAAGAAGGCTGCACTTGAGATTTAAGATATTTTTCATGTCAAGGGCAATCAACAGACCTCCTGTTGTGAAAATTATCAGTTTATGAGTGTAGCTGTAGCACATATCTAGGTTATATTTGTGTAGTTGCACACATCATTATCTGGAAATGCCTCTGTCTTTACTTTCATGTTTGCCTTAGAAAACCTGAAATGAACTTGAAATACAGCATTACATAGCTCCAAGCT